CTGAGTCTGGTTCCTCTCAAGGTTTCTTCCTATCACCATCTCAGGGAGTTTTTCCTTGCCACCGTCGCCCTGCTTGCTCATCAGAGACATCACACACACACACTTCATTTTACTTTGTTTGTGTAAAGCTGCTTTGAGACAATGACGTTTGTAAAAAAGCGCTATACAAATAAAAATGAATTGAATTGAATTGAATATCCCCGAGTGTCCTCAGCAGTATCAGTGCAGAGTCACAGTTACCGTCACAGTGAGCTGCGTAATCCTTATCAGCCGGGTAATTGGTTATGTTTGACATGGGATTGGAAGCTATCCCGTTCCCCACATTTGATGGGATTAGTGTTGTAGCCTGGGGTGTATTTGCAAATATATCTTCCCTTTCTTTCTTTTTTTTTTATCTCATTCTCACTTGCTTTTCTTTCCAACTCCCCCATGATGTCTTTACATGGAAGAAGTGTTGCTCATTTAGCTGATGATGATAAGTGTGTAATTAAGTATGACTGCATCAAGCAGATTTGAAACACAGATGAAACCGAGATTTGGGTCAGGGAAAGCATCAGCAGATCATCACGCATTGACCTTGGCCCCCCCCATTCATGTCTTTTCATATTACCGTATCACAGATGTGTGGGGAAGCAATGTCAAAATCCTAATCACAACAGATTTGATGTTTATTACAGCCTGGACGAGCCAGGTATTTTGCTTTGAAGGACCAAATTCAGCTAGGCAGCATCGCTGAAAATTATTGTTCTCTTCTGTTATTTTTAATAGAGGTGAACTTTTTTAGCAGACAAGAAATGATTATATTTGCAGTCATTTTAAAACGTGATCCAGATGTTCCACATAAACGGATTAAAAAAATGTAATTGTTGATATGGTGAAGTTTTCTTTAAGGAGATTTAACATTTATGGGTAACACGTTACGATGCTGTTCAACAACTCATAGAGGAACTACGCAGGAACTAAGCAGGAACGAAGGAGTACTTCTTCATTAACACTTCTTATTCCTACTACTAAAACTATTAGTTAATTACTCAATAAGTATCTTAGTAGGTATGCAGTAACTACTGAGTCTTAAGCAGTAATTACTGAGTCTTATATTTCTCCTGCAGAACTACT